AGAGCCACCTGTTTATTTCCAGGGTGGAGAGTTTATTATTTTTTTTTCTGACTAGGGCTATTTGGAGATGCGTAGAGTTCTATGAAGGTCACACAAAATTAACAATGACAGGTTAGCATGCTATTTGGTCTGTCATTGAATGACCCTGTCTCGGCTGCCTAGGCAGGGTCAATCCCAGTGGTTCTAAAGTAGATAACAACTTCACAGTCTCTCTCTCTCTCTCTCCTCTCTCTGCACAGGACCCAGGGCAGCAGCCTGTGCACAGGGAGTACATCCATGGCAAGGCATGTCGACTTTCTCCAGGCTACTGCATGTTTTGAAAGACACCAGCCCCAGGGGGTGGGAGAGATACTGGGATCAGTGGTGGTGGAGAATGGGCACTGGTAAAGGAATGGGTACTCGAACACTATATAATTGAAACCCAAACACAAAAATTTGTAAGTCTACAACTGTACCTCATGGTGTTTCACTAATAAAAATAAAAAGAGAAAGAGGGAGAGGGGGGAGAGAAAGAGAGAGAGAGAGAGAGAGAGAGAGAGAGAGAGAAACAAAGCCCACAAAACACCACCAAATACAATGTACATTGGAGCCAGCAGAATGATTTTACTTCAACAAGTAAGCCTATCCAAAGAAGATGCACAAAATCTACTAAGATCTTCTCTGTCTTCTGTCAGGCTTAACAAACACAGTGGCCGTGGAGTGGTTCCCCAGATCAGTCTCAGCTCTGTTATACACACAAGCATTAACCGGAGTGCAAAAGCACTCCTCACTAATCACAAAATGTTGGACCCGGAAAACCAGGCTTCTCCGGATTCCCAGAGGAAAACGCCTCACCACTACCCAGATCTCTTCATTTCCAGCCCAGTGACTTGCTCACTCAGCCATGAATTATTAAGTAACATGATTTAGGGTCTCCAGGTGGTGTTATGCATCAGTAAATTACGGGAACTTGCTCCTACCAGACAGTATTTCAACAGTTTTCACAATCTGGCCCCCAATACTACAAACTTACTGATCAAAAACCAGTCTGCTCTAAATGTTTTGAGAAGGAGGCATACTTTGGACTCGAGGACCATGCCCAAATTTTCTGCTGAGTCGAGAAAATTGGAATCATTTAGAGACAGACCTTGGAGGCTATATTTATGTCCTCTAATAACACGCATGCTAAATATATGTACTATATATATGATTATGTCTTGATCTTTACCTTGCAATAAGCTCTACAGCTTATAAAGTGCTTCACAACAAATACTCCTGGGTACCAGCTATAACAATATCTGCCTTGACAGAGAAAAGCAACAAGCAAAAGAATCCCACACCGAAACAACCTTTCTGTACCCCTTATGAATTCTCTCCTGTGCTCTGTTAGCAAGACGCACATGAGCTGCATCTGGGCGTTGCGGGGGAGGTGGGGGCCTATCTGTCTATCTATCAGCTAACTGCTCCTGGCAGGGCTTATTCTCTCCAAAGGCACACAAAGATGTCTTATAACCAGCTCTTCCTAAGAGGGGATGGAACAGGAAGAAGTGGAAGCATATGGCAGAGGGCAGGAACAAGTCACCACCACACCCCACCAGATCAGAGGCGCCATTTCAAGCTTCCTGTGAGACTCAGACCTGTTCCATCTCCTTGATTTCCTAGTTCTCTCCTCACTCCACTTCTCCTCGAACAGCTCTTCTGGCCAGAACGATAGGGTCTGCTCAGATAGCCAAAAGAACACTGACTGCGAGTTTGCCTCCCCTTTGAAGAAAGCTGAGACAGAGATAGAGGGCATAAGAAAAATGAAAACATTTTCAAATTTCATTCGCCAAACAATTTTAAAATCAGGACAGCCGTGCCCTTGAATTATCAACCCAAGGTTTCAATTCTAATTTCTGTTTTTCAAGGTCTGTGATTACCGTTCCCCTCACCTCCATCCCCCTACCCTCAGCTCACAAGAAAATCTTTTTTTAACTTCAAAACCCTCTCTGGGATTTTCAAAAGTCGTGTTTCCTATTTTTTTCCTAGTGCCTTCTAATTTTTATGTCTTAGTTCTTTCATTTTATTTCACGAAGGAGGCTGAACTTAGTTACCACTTATGTAGTAAAAATAGTATATAACTACCTTGCTTAAATTCAAGTCTTCATGTTCCTGAATCATCCTTAATTTTAGCCCTTCTTCTTGGGCTCAGCGTCCTGCAATCAACCCCCGAAATTTCCCAAAGAAAATAACTCTCACATTCTGTTTTACTCATATGTAATGAAATTCTTCTAAGACTTAATCATTCTTTTGATTTTGGGGGCAGGGCTAAGAATGCCAAGGATCTAACCCAGAGCCTCATACATGCACATCATGTGCCTGACCACTCTTTGGCCCCTAGTTTTAATCATCCTAAATAACCATACTCGCTTTCTAAGCATACGACCCCCTCTCTATTCTCCATCGGAGCAGTGTGTCGAAAGTCTGGCCGAAGAGCTACAACACAATTATTTCAAAGCAGAAATGCTATGCATACAAAGAAATATTAGTTCATTTTTAACAACCGCGACAATCTATAATATGATGACATATGAAATATGATGACAAGAAGTTTAGAAACCAGTATTTTAGCATACATTTAAAAAGACAAAATATATATACACATGACTTCTCTCAGGTATTGCATTTTGGCACACAGACACTAAAACCAGTTTCTTTCCACCATAGGAATTGCTTCCTTTAACATTCAAAAAGGAAGTAATGGGAAGAGAGAGACAGTTCAGGGGTTATATCCCTTGTCCTGAATGCAGCTGACCGGAGCTGATCCCTAGCATATTGCCTCCTGAGCACTGCCCAGAGTGATCCCTAAGCACAGAGGCAGACTGAGCCCTGAGCACCTCCAGGTGTGGTCCCTAAGCTCTCCCCTCACCGAAATAAAGAACAAAAGAAAATTATGATATAAGGCTGGTACGCAAACCAACAAAAAAGGGATTTTAAAAAGACTGGTAAGGAATTGAGGATATCTCCTCCTTTTAGACAGTTTTTTGTATTTTTCCCTTAACATACACTATATGGGATTGGAAAAGCCAGCTCCTCTAGAATAAGGAAAGCCAGGATAGAAGCAAAGACATGACAAAAGCATGTAAACTCTCCTAAACTTTCTCTACAGAATAAGATTCTACTGAAAATTACTCTACCATAAAAGCCACAAATTGTGGGGGCCAGAGCGATAGTACCGTGGGTAAGGCGTTTGCCTTGCACACAGCCGACCCAGATTCAACCCCCGGCATCCCATATGGTCCCCCAAGCACCGCCAGAAGTAATTCCAGAGTGCCGAGCCAGGAGTAACCCCTGAGCATCGCTGGGTGTGACCCAAAAAGCAAAACAAACAAACAAACAAAAACCCCCACAATTGTTCAGTTCCCTACTGGATAAAAAGTATTATTTTCCAGGCCAGAGCAACACTACAGCAGGTGAAAGTACTTGCTGTGCTTATGGTCGACCAGGTTGAATCTCCAGATCAGTCAAGGGTGATCTGAGTCCAGGGCCTGGGATTAAGCCTGAACTTCACAGATATGACTCAAAATCAATCCCTCTCCCCCAAAATGTTTTCTTTAACTATAGACATACTATCCTTTCAAGCTCATGTTTTAACTCTGATAAAACCACAAAGAAAACAGGCGCAGGAGTATCAGTACAGTGGGTAGGGCACTTGCCCTGCACACAGCCAGGTTTAATGCCTGGCATCCCATTCTGTCCACTGTGCACTGCCTGGAGTGATTCCTGAATTCAGAGTCAGGAGGAAGCCCTGAGAACTACCAGAGACGGCCCAAAAAGCTAAGAAAGAAAAGAAGGGAGGGAGGGCGGGAGGACAGGAAGGCCGGCTGGCGGGCCAATACATGGAAAAGAATGCATCAGTCTGCAAGTGAGGCTCTCATTGCAATGAGACCTTGCTTTTCACTCCACAAATGACAGCTAGTCAGAGCCTCTTTTTAAAATGAAATAATATAAAAGAGAACTAAAAAAAAAGTAGATGCATTATCAAATGTGAAACAAACAAAAAAAGGTATAAAATTCAGAATTTAAAAAAAAGGATTAAGAGTCAAGAAGCTATGTACTTAGAAAGGAAGAGGTCAGGCACGGAGATGAGAAAACAGAGGGGAAATATCAGTTACCAGCTCATAAAAGTAACTTCTCCCAATCTAAAAACTGTTTAATCTCAACCCACGAGGGCTTAGAGATACAATACTACTCTAGGAAAATTTTCGAAAGCTACCATGAATTGTGAAATATGCTTCTGATATTTCCCATAAAAAGCAGTGTTCAGAAAATTGGAGCATTTAGCAAGCAGTGGGATTCGCAGTAATTTTGAGATAGAACATTAATACAGGAGCTATTACTGAAACAGTATTTGCTTCTTATCCGGAAAGTGAAACTGTACATATTACAAGTCACTTAACAGCCTTATCAAAAGCCAACTCAAAAGGAAAACAATTTATTAAATACTAAAGCAAAGCAGCCAATTAAGAAAGAGTCGTTAAGGGTTGGAGCGATAGCACGGCGGGTAGGGCGTTTGCCACACGGTTGACCCGGGTTCAATTCCCAGCCACCCATATGGTCCTCTGGGCATCACCAGGGATAATTCCTGAGTGCAGAGCCAGGAGTAACCCCTGCGCATCGCCAGTTGTGACCCAAAAAAGCAAAAAAAAAAAAAAAGAGTTGTTAAGGTGCATGCCTTGTACATGGCGAATCCTTGATCAATTTGTGGAATCACACGGTCCCCAAGGACAGCCAGGTGCAGCTCTGAAGGTCTCTGAAAAGCGCTGGAGTAACCCAGGTAATCTCCAGGAGGCGAAGGCCACGCTAACAACACTGCTTCTCCAGGCCCTCACACTGACCAGGCCTGGGAACCGATGGGAGCGGACCCTGGAATCCCAAGCATCACTTGGCAGATGCCTCCACCCCTAGCAGAAAACTCTCAATTTTCTCCGGATCAGGAGACTATTAGCAAGGACATTTCATAGAAGATTACCAACACATACCTGTTTTCGGGTGGATTGAAAAGAAGCCTTGTGGATTTCCGCTTGTAATTTTATATGTCAGTTTGTCATTCGAGCTAGAATCGGGATCAAACGCCTCAATCTGGACCACAGCGACATCTTTGGGAGAATTCTCCAGAACTTCTGGATAATACACAGGCTCTGATGTCTGCGGTGCGTTGTCATTGACATCTTCCACCTCTATGTAGATCTCGATAAAGGATGAAAGAGGCACCACCCCCTGATCGGCTGCATAGACGGTCAGCCAATAGTGGGAGGCAGACTCCCGGTCCAGTCGGTCTGAAGTTTCGATGACACCTAGAGAGAAAACAGACAACCATGAAGGAGCCTGTCAGCCACAACAAGACAGTCATTAACAAAATTTCAACTAAATAAAAACTCTTAATTTTTAAAGCCTTGTGACATTTAGCACTGCATCTTAAGTGAGGTGTTTTGTGTCTCCATTTCCTTCCTATAAAATGTCCCTCAAAGTTGACTAAATACACCCTCCAGTTAAAAATTTAACTCCAGCTGTATCACCCCATTCAAAATTTTAGAATTTCTGGACTGAAACTTTACACCACTGACATACCAGGAGTAGCAACTGCACTGGATGGGATGGAAAGTGAAAGGCAACCAATCTCGATTAAGAAAATATTAACATACAGGGCTTAACCTGTAACGACATGTTAGTAATCTCTTACACAAGGGCTTAATGGCTCCAGGGTGAGATGTAACAATCTTCACACATGTCCTTCCAAGGAAACCTTTTCTGATCATTTTCAGTTAATTATTCATAACAAGCAACATAAAATAAATTATTTAGGGCTTGACATTGGGGCAGGCTTAAGTGGTGGTTGAGAAAATGGGAATAATGGAGGGAGGATGCAATGATGGTGAGATTGGTGTTGGAATACTGGATGTAACAAAAAAAACTTATAAAAATAAATAATCATTTAAAAGTTGGCTTAATAAAAAGCACTGCACTGCACTGTCCTCCCGTTCTTCATCGATTTGCTCGAGCGGGCCCAGTAATATCTCCATTGTGAGACTTGTTGTTACTGTTTTCGGCCTACAGAATAAATCATGGGTAGTTTGCCAGGCTTTGCCGTGCAGGCAAGATCCTCTCAGTACCTTGCCAGGCTCTCGAGAGGGGTGGAGGAATCGAACCCGGGTCAGCAGGGACGGCCTCATGCGAGGCAAACACCCTGCTGCTGTGCTCTCGTCCCAGTCCAGTAGCTGGCATATAATAAATACTATGTACGTAATTGTCATTACTAGCATGAGATGCTGAAACTAAGTGAAATGCTTAACAAATATTACTGAAGTTTCAAACCCAATCTCATTAGTGACTGATTATCCAAGGGTGACAAAGATGAAAAATCCAAGATATTGACATCTGCTGGCTTTCTTTGGGGTTAAATGAGGCCACAGGGACAAAACCCAGGGCCATAGACACTCAGTTGTGAGAACCAGAACCTAGCACAGTCTAGCACCCCTGCTGCCACTCATTTGACCATTGCTACGGTTTAGCCAAAGAGGCGGCAAGCAAAACTCCCATAGACACCTCAGTTTGGTACATACACCCCCTTTTTAAAATCAAGATTAAGGAAACACAGAGTATAATCTTTCAAACTACAAAATAAGGAACTGCTCAGGTCTCTTGTATACCGAAATCCTTCAATTTCTTTTAATCACCTTAAGCAAATGGCAGGACAATTGGTGTTCTAAAAATATAAATTCTCCTTCTACACTTCTACTCTTCAAAAGTCAGTGGCCACCTCCTTCTTGTATACCAGTAAAGATAGCGCCTTGCTCAAAGCCCAATTATTATTTCTTATAATTGAACAATGACGAATAATTTACCTAGGGATAGTACATAACAGCCTTCAGCTGAGACCCAAACAAAGGCACATTTAAAAAAAATTATTAAGTCAACTAGTAAAAGATGGAGCTATATAATTACCAAAAAGAGGGTTGGAGTATCTGTAACATTTTGGCCTAGCCATCAAAACCAATCAAAGCTTACTTAATCCTAGGATTAATCTCTTCTCAGGATGATTAATGGTAGAAATACTCATTTCCCAGGCAAATCCCTCTTTTTTATGAAGCAATATAACCCATTCCTTTGGCTTTCCCAAAATATATCATTACACTTTTCTTATACATTAATCATTCTGAACCAATGCTGATTTTAAGATTGATTACTGTGATTGAGTTTGGACTTTGAAAACCCTGTGTCCTACTAGTGTAAAATAACAAACATGGGAAAAATAAGAAACTTTAATTTAATCTGTGCTCAGAATGAAGGAATACCTTAGCCAAACAAATTTACATTTGATCATTTGTCACCATATGTAAATCGATCATATGTGAATTTAAATACTGGTTTATTAAAGGTTACTAGTACAAAGAAAACTCATTTACAATTAAATGTCAATATACTCACATCTATCCCCAAAGTATTTATAATTTATAAGCAGCAATCATTCTAAATATTGAAATGTGAGATATATTATCATAAAATAAACATTACTGCTATGCAAAAGCATTGTGATGTACTACTGCTTCATTAATTGCTATAAACACAAAGGTTCTATACTACTAGAGCTGTGGAACAGAATTCAAAATTCTTATGTAAAAAGATACCGGTCTCTATGAAGTAACAACAACTTTCAATAAATTTCAAGTTTTCTATCTCTGGTCTAATCATAATCTCTTCATATTCAATTCAATCACATGATTAGTAGAATCAAATCTTTATTTTGATTGATAGGGAAGTGTCCTCCGTAAAAGAAAAACTTTCTCATCTTTCTCTTTTTTCATCTATTTCAGTAACTGCTACAAAGGAAACCTGATAGAACTTTCTTGCTACTGATTGCAAGTCTGCAAAATGGATGGACATTCATCTCACTAATATGTGTTCTGCCATTTCATGGAACTATAATCTAGTATTTCTGACAGGAGTACATGGAACTCATATTCTCCTCTTCTGTGTTTTTTTAGGGGGTGAGGGGGTCATACCTGGTAGTGCTCAGGAGTTACTCCTGGCTCCGCTCTCAGGAATTACTCCTGACAGAGCACGGGGACCATATGGGATGCCAGGGATTGAACCCAGGTCGGCCGCGTGCAAGGCAGATGCCCTACCTGTTATACTATATCACTCCAGCCCTTCTTTTCGTGTTCTGACCCTCAGTGTGTGCTGCTACTTTTAAAAACAGTTTCTTTTCAAATGTGATCTTAAGGTATTTAATCACAACACTACTTACAGAAACAAATTTTTCTCAATTACTCTAAATGCCTTATAAAGTCTGGTCACCTTTAACCTTTATCTTTAGCCTGCCTCCACATAAAATATTACTATCCCCGTTCCGTGAATGAAAAACTTAGATTACGCAAGATGAGGATCTTTCCCAAGGCCAGAGTAAATGGGAGGCAAGGTTCAACCACCATGCATCGTTGACTTCAGTGCCAGAAAACTGCCAGGCTTACTGCTGGCAGGACAAATGCGAAGTAAACTAAAGTTAATGTGAAAACTCAAAAAAGGTGTAAGTCAAACTTCACGTTTTGCCCATGTTTTGTTTTCTCCACCTGTCAGTTTTCAGGAGTGTATTAAATGGTCCTGAACTTACATCATAGCTTTCACCAGTCTTAAGGAAAGAGGAGGAAAACAAGATACAACAATGTGCAAATATATTACGAGTTTTCAAAGTACAGACAAAAACTGATATTCATTTCCTATCAAGTTCCGCTTCTGGTCTGGTCTGCTGGGTACAACTGCAGGATGCTTCTTGCTTCCCCTCTTCCAAACAACATTCCTACTTTTTAAGTGGCTTCCTGGTCACACTTCTCAAGTTCCAGGACGTCTCTGAATAGCACAGACGTGCAAAGTGAGAGTCCAGTTGGCTCTCCTCAAACACAGGCAAAAATCAAGACTGAACTGATGAGTGATTAAAATACTAAAGAGGCATGAATGAGATGCTCTGATGTGTATGTTTCGTTAATTCATGGACGACCCCCTTTTATATCATACAGGGACTGAAGTCTGTTTCAATATATTTTATTGATCACAGCCCTACAAGCAAAAATATTATATTCAACTCACTGGTAACTGAAGAGAAATCTTAACTACCAATCAAAAAAGGACATACAAAATAAACTTTTCTAATCCAAGTTCCCAGAGATTTCACAGCAAGCACTACAGAGGTCCCAAAGCCCTGCCAGGAGAGACCCCTAAGGGCAGAGCCCGGAGTAAGCTTTGCTTGAGCACAGCCAGGTGTGACCTACGAACCAAAATTAAATAACTAAAACACTCAAATTTAGAATGCAAGTAAACTCACAGTTTTTTAAGAGTACAAAGTACTCTGCGCTTAGGTTTTCAGTAGGTACTTTATGTGCATTAAATCACTTCAAGAACATAGGAAATACTATTTTCATTCTATCTTTGTGCTGGAGCAACAGCACTGCGGCTGGGCATTTGCCTTGCCGGCCGAGCTGGGTTCGATTCCTCCGGCCCTCTCAGAGAGCCCAGCAGGCTACCGAGAGTATCTCGCCTGGATGGCAAAGCCTGGCAAGCTACCTGTGACGTATTCAATATGCCAAACACAGTAACAACAAGTCTCACAATGGAGATGTTGCTGGGCCCGCTCAAGCAAATCGATGAATAACGGGAGGACCGTGACCATGATTCTATCTTTGCAAATGAGAAGGAAGCAGCTTAAAGCCCGTGACCTGCCCAAACCTTTACAAACACAGCCAGTCAACATTCCAGTAGGAAACTTAGGATTTGAATCAGGATTGGTCTCCAGAACTCAGACATTTCAACCCCACTGTCACCGCGGCCACAGAATCATCCCCACACATCAAAGACGTTGCTGGGGATCATTGTGACGGACTGCTGTTTCCCTTAATGAGAACTTCCAGGACATTTCTGGAGCCAGAGTAATAGTACAAGTGGATAGGATGCATGCCCTGTATGTGGCCAACCTGGGTTCAATCCCCAGCATACACATGGTACCGCAAGCCCTGCCAGGAGTGATTTCCTGAGCACACAGCCAGGAGGACACTCTTAAGCACCACTGGGTATGACCCCAAAACAAAACAAAACAGAAATTTCAACGGCTGGAATTGGGTGAAAGGAAGAGTAGTGGAAGAGATCTGATCCAGGACTCTGCTTGGTAGCTGGGAAGAGACCAGACACAAGCAAAACTGCTTTAGAGTTCACTCATTTCATTTCATCATTTCATCATCCTGTTATTCGTCGATTGCCTCGAGCAGGCCCCAGTAACGTCTCTTTCATTCTAGCCCTGAGATTATAT